GCCTGTTCCAGTGCTCTGTCACCCTCAGAGGGAAGAAGCTCTTCCTCATGTTCAGACGGAACTTCCTATGCTTCAATTTGTGCCCCTTGCCCCTTGTCCTGTCACTGGGCACCACTAAAGGAACTCAAGCCTCCTGCCTTCAGCAGTGTCCGTCACTGCCTGCACTTGGGTGAATATGGAGATGTGAACCCCCTCGTCTCCCCCTCAGGGCTTTTCATGCTTCTTGGCTCCCTCCCTCTGACCCTCAATATGTTGCATGTACTCCCCAGTTTGAGTCCCTGTCTCAAATAGGTTAAACTCCCAACACTATTCGTTTTGGAATTCAGTTTTAAACCACCAGATATAGCAGTGTGTTGCTGCATAGTTCTTAGTATATTTTAAATGTGCGTCAGTCAGTTTTGATTATTTAGGCCGTTGATCCTGAGGAGCTGTAACTCTGGTTTCACCCACACTGAATGCTAAATGCAAAGTGCTGTGACACTCAGGAGCTCTAATTTCCCTATCAACACATCTGTCATCATTGAAAGGGAAAGCAGATTTGGCATAAGGCATTTATTTATTGCTTACCGCTTTCAGTGACTGTTAGATGTCTAGGCAGAGCGTTATTTAGGAGAAGGTTGGTGGCATATGTGAGATCAGTTTTGTAGAAAAAATAAAAAATAACAGCAAAAAAAGTTTAAATTACAGCAAAGCCATTAAATAGCCTAGTTTAGGGAAGGGGAGGAAACTACTCTGTAAGAGAGTAAAGAAATCTAAGAGCACGTTTTCCAGGGACAGTAGTAATGTTACTGCTATGTTATTGTGCAAAACAGGAAAGAACTTCCTGTTTCCCTTTTTCCTGAAGGTACTTTCTCTGGTTTTGGTCTAACCAGTAAGACTTAAAGACCATTCAGCTAAAAAACTGGAAACAGAGGTAGAAGACACACTTCGAGCGCTGGAAGAATTCATAACAGAAATTACTGGTCCCTTCCAATCCCTACCATTCTGTGATTCTGTGATTAGAATAGATTGACATGAACCTTGGTTCAGTAGCCACAGGCAAAGTTGAGTTTTAAAAACATATTTTCTTTTGCAGAAGTGCTGAATGCTCTCAGAATAAAGCACACATAGGAAGTGTTTCTTTTGTGATTGAGTTGTACTGAATATGTCAATGGACAAAGCATGTCTGAACTGATACACTGGGCTAGTTTGTAAAACGCTTTCAATTAATGTGATCGGTTGTGGCAGTGAAATAAATACCTGCTTTCTCTGAAATTGTATTTTAACTCTAACAAAAGCTGTCAAAAAATCAAAACAAGCAGTCTTTGCTTTTGCAAGTATTGCAAATACTGGACATAGTACAAAATTACTGGATTTTATGTATAAACCAAGATGCCTTTGTAGTTTTTGTAGGGCATCTGTAGCTTTTTCTTCTGTTGCTGTTGGAATAAAGGTACAGATTTTAGAAGGGTAGTTACACGGAAGGGTTATGCAACAATTAGATTTTCCATGTTTGAGCCTGGTGTATCTGTTGTTGGCATGGCAGCTTCGGTTCAGCCGTATTGAAAGAAAACAAAGCTTAATCCAGTGCATGCATGAGCATCACTTTTTGAATACTGGAGAGATTACGTTTATCATCAGTAGGTATATTCCCTTGGACTTATTCCTGACACAGAGTGGGGTGTCTACTGTATGCATATGTGTGAGCTTTTAACAGATTTCATGTGAATTCATAGTCCTGATCCTCCCCTCCTGGTACTTCAGTTAAATTCCTGGATCCTGGTCGGAGTGACACAGCAGGAAAATCAACACGTACAGGATCTAAAGTTAAATCATAGTGAGTTTATGGAAGAAATAGGTGCATTTTCTTTGGATAGACTTCTCTTCCAAGATACTGAGTCACTTAATGTACTACTTTGTATCCAAGTTCCCTCAAAAAAACGCTTTCTTAGGTAACATAGCTTTTAAATACAGCCTGTGCATGGGTAATAGAGATACCAAAAATAACTGACGGAAGGTAAGTTAGAGTTGATTTGAAATGCATATTAAAAAACATGATTTGGTACTGTCAGGTCAGGAACTTGGTATAGAGCCCCTGTTACTGAAACAGCTTTCCAAGCATTAACAGTGTGATGCAGTATGAGAAAGGAGCTCTGCCATCCCTTCAGGTAAGCTACACTCACAGATCTGCATCAGAATTAGGGTGCTGGGGTCTTGGCTGACTCCTTGTTTCCAAACATTTTTCAGATTTGGTTCCAGTTTCAGCCATAACTGAAGTTGCATCTGCTTGGGAGATTGAAGTTGAGTTCTTTCTTCTACCAGAGCTCCTTGTTGCAGATCTTTACAAATATTTAGGCAATTACTGACTAATCTTTTGACCTTTTGTCTGCATCGTTGTTCTTAACAGTATAATGTAAAGTTGGTGATGTTACAGGAGAAAGGCAGAGAACCTTCTGGGAAGGTCTCCTACCACCAGTGGCTGACTAACCCTGCAATAAAGTGTTCTTTGCCTCGCTTTTCCTGTTCGAGAGGGAGATTCAGGTGTCAAATAACTAGCTCATTCCTGGCCAGCTCTATAAGGAGCTGCAATGAAATGGTGCTTTCTGCCTCAGCTTTTAAGTCTGGTAACATTGCGCATGATTTTGATGTATACTTAACGTGCTGTGACTCATTTTCAGGGGTCGTAGGGTTAGTCTCACATCTTTCCCCTCCCACCTCCTCAATTGATAAGATCTGTATCTGTAACGTAACTTTCCTTTTGGCAGGTAATCGGAAAGGATGATGTAGCTGTGCCATCCCACCTATACAAGGTGATCCTTGCCAGACGGAGCAGAACGTCCTCAGAGCCCTTGGTACTGGGGGCTTTTGTGGTGCCAAACGATCCCATAGGCTTCAGCCACCAGCTGACCGAGTTCCAAGTAAATGTCGAAGATCTGGAAAAAATGTCAGGTTTAGTTTTTTTCCCCCAGGTGGACAAAACCAAAGCTATTAAAAATATCTGTGAGGTGGATACCTGTAAACTGATGGGCTTCCAGGAATTCACTTTGTACATCACTGCTCGAAAAGTGCAGAGTGCCCGTACGTTGCACCGGTTGGAGAAAGCCATGTCGGAGTTAAGGGAGGCAGGAATTGAGCCTGATGAGTATCTTCTAAAGCTTCACAGGAAGAAGGAAGAAGAACTACTGCAGGAAAAACAAGTAGTAGCTAGAGAGGGGAAAGCTGGCTGAGTACTTGTTCAGGAAGATGTTTGGGCTTTTGTACTTTGAAAGAGGAGCTGAAGGCAAGCACAAAAGATGGGCTCTATGAATTATGCTTTTTGGAATCGTGAAAACAATAAAGAAACATTTGGAAGCCGATGGGTTTGGAATAACGTTCATTCTCGTGTAACATGATGCACACGCATGGTTTGCTGCAGTAGTTAGGTGCGGGAGATGAAAATGACCCCTTTCTGGCATGACTAGATTACTGGACCTCCAGAAAAGGCTTTGTGCTATTTTCCAAGCGAGACGTCAGACTTGGTGTTTGTATGGAATCCCTTCTAGGAATATTATAAAAATAGACAGTAGACACCTTGGGAGTATAACTGGAACATGTTTAAATTCTGCCTGCAAAGGTCTTTCAGTATGAAGCTGTAGAAACAATGGTACTTTCTGGGATTTTTTCAAAATTGAATTAATTTAGAAATATTTTATTCAGCACTCTTTTATAGAGACCTGCAAGACATAATCTGAATCCCTTACAGTCTTTACTCAGTTGTGGTAACCAAACCAGATTGTCCCTTACCTCTCCTGACCTTGTGTGCTTTGGATACTTCAGCATGCCAGTAGCTATCAACTGTTGTCATTTGCAGCGAGCTTCTTTCATTCATATGTAATTCTGCAATTTAAAAAAAAAACCACAATAGAAGCAGAGTTTGCACAAGTTGCCACCAGTGTAGACTGGGTCTTCATAAATTAGTGTAAGCTTAAGATTTCGCTTTCACCACAAGGTTTGGCTAAATGTGTTTTCTTGCATATTGTTTGATTTGGGAGGTGAGCACTTCTTTCTTTTTGTTTGTGGTAGTCACTCGCTGGCTTTTTTGCCAGCATCAGTCTTTGGTCTATGAACTTCACAACAACACTTCTACGTGAAAGCAGAAGATTGACTAAAAATGCATTTCCAGTTCTGTTTCAGCAGCAATTGAGCGATTGAATTGCTCGGATTTGCATCCGCTTGGGAGATTTAATGATTTTTTTTTTCATTGGTTTCATCTGTTTGTGTATACATCTTGAATTTCAGACATATTTATGTATGTATCTTGAATTGCAGACATAAATTAGTGGGAATTTTCTCTGAGATTTTTCATCTGGAATGAAAGAGTAAAAACTAGAAATATTTCGATTTTTTTTTTTTTTTTTAGCAGTAAGAATCTATATGAACTTGAAGTTGTGCCATAAAAACACCTTCAGTAGTTTTAATGTAAGAGTTAATAGTTTCTGAGAAGGGTCATGTAGTGGCGGCTCAGTTGAGCTGTTTTCATAAAGGATGAATCAGGAGCGTTATTTGGATGTTGTGAATCATCAACTGGGTGTACTAAAAACTATGTAGTTTCCTTCAACTCAGTTCAGTTGCCGTATCCAAAAGTAGATCACTTTATAAAGTGGTTATGGCTCTCGTGACACTTTTGTGTTTGCCAGGGACATATTTACAAAATCCAAATATTTAAACCAGAGAACTGTGACTAGCCAAGGACATCATAAAAGCTTACTGCCCACATAAACTGGAGAGAAATTGGGTGAAATCCTGACAAAATGTTTGCTTTCAATTTTAGCCAGAATTTTGGTTGTTGATCCTATCGAATGTGACAAAACCAGTAAATCGCAAAGCAACAAGCTGCCTCTCCCTGTGCAGAACGTGGGAGATGTCAACGTTTGTTGCCTGGAGTAAAGAAGTGCCAGATGCTTCACGTGCCTTTTGATGGTCTCGCGTGTGCTTCACAGGAGTCCAGGCAGTCTTTTGGCACTGTGATGGTGTTGCCGTTAAGAAAAGGTACCTGCTCTTTGCATTGTCTTTCTCTTTGCCCTGTTATTTATCTATATTTTTTAATTCAGCTTTCCACCTTTGTTTTGCTCTTGCTCCTTTCAGCTGGGAGGTTAGAGATCTCTCCTGCAGTGCTCACACACACCTTCTACGGGCATCTGAAACAGATCTCAGTGCTGCAGATACGTGTCCATCCGTAGAGAAAACGCTGCGCTGGGACAGCACCGGCTGTATGTGAGGAACTCCAGGTATCGTCGCTTTCTGCTGACCGCTTGCCATTTCGACGACAGTGGAAGGACGGAGTGTGGCTCTTGTGGAGGCCTGCTATGGAGACCAGCTGCTCTGTAACTCAGTACCTTCTCGCACCTTCAATTCCTGCAAGCGCCAGTTACCGTGATTTTCATGGCTTTTGGCTTACCGTATAGACTAGACTTGCTATAGAATTTTCAGCTCTGTTTGAGCATGGTTGGTGTTCTCCAGTTCCCCTTTGAGGGTGGCAGCAGGTGGTGAACGGTGAAGCCACTTCCAGTGCTGGTCTGTGATGAAGAGTACACTCACCTGCTTGTCTTCTGCTGGTTTCCTCATCTGAAGTAACGGGAGTTCGGCATATAGCAAAAAAACAGTGCTTTCTTTGCAATAGGAAATATAAGACAATTAATAGCAAGGGAGTGAGGCTTTACACACTTGTTTGGGCGTGCTTCAAGTAGTTGGAGATCCTTCATGAGAACTCTGCTCGTGCCCATCTGTCACTCGTTTTGCACACTTAATAGTTCCCTGCCTGCGTCTGTAGTGACAATACGAACCTCTGTGATGCCGCTGAGCAGCAGGAGTCCTGGAAATGGAGCAGTCCGTTCCTCCGTACTTTCAGTGTGCTTGTTTTTAAAGCTGAATAACTGAATCGCGAGGGAAGTTGACAGCTAGGCTGTGCACAGCCTGATACAGTAATTTTCTGATATTCCCATGACTGCTTTTGATTGTTATCCCTAGTCTCGAATCAGGGAGTAAGTGATGGTAGGAGGAGGAGTAGGAGGCAGATGGGAGCGCAGGGGGAGAGCTGCCGCCGTGCTCAGGGTCTTTGGGCTGCGGACCCTGGCTCTGCTCGGTGCAGTTTCGGCGTTTGGCCTTTTGAGGGCAGGCTGTTTCTGCAGTGTCAGCCTCGGCAGCCAAAAACGATGGGGGATGTGAATCAAATGTCTATGGCCTGTAATAACTGTCTTTCTGCTTGTGATACTAAGATACACGTTTAAAATGAATTGTTGTTCCGGGCATTGTATTGACAGCAGTGCAGAATGAAGCTAGTGATTTTTGCTAGATAAGGGTTTTGACAATAATGTTTGAAAGTGCTTTTAGACTGACCACCCAAGTTGTGTATCTGCTCCAAAGACAATTTTCACTCCAGCTTCTTCATGAATCTCATTCTAAGTGAGGATTTAACCCTGCGCTGATGTCTTGCAATGTTATTGTTTTCCTTCTGTAAACACAACTTATAGGAGGGGAGGGAATTTAAAGTTCTACTTTTTATTTTTGTGTGGTTGGTTCACTTCAGAGCACTGTTTTGCAATTTTCTGTTTGTCTTGCAGTAGGATCTTGATGGGTCTCATTAGCTAGTTGTGCTGAGTGCTGCACTAACCTGTGGAGAAACAGTCCCTGTCCTGAAAAAGTAAGATGTGTTAGATATGGCAGGCAACAGCTGGAATGGGAGAAGATACACACCCAGAAGTTTGGAGATTTCTTTCATCAAAGGGCTTCAGAGGTGCTGCAACACCCACCTTTGCATCTCCTTTCCATCACTGGAATCATCTCCCTGACAGGGACACTCTAGTGTCCTGTAAAATCAATGGAGCCAAGAAGGTAACAAAACCTAGGATTTGCAGAAGCTTCTAATCTGGCTAACAGTGGTTGCTGGAGATGGGCACTGGGTTTCTCTGGGGCTTTCAGTCATGAGCCTTTGTTTTGGAATTGGCCAGGCAAGCTAAGCCTCTGTTATGAAAAACCATTAGATAGAGAAACTGTGAAATAGGGAAGAGTGACTGGAAAGCTGCCCAGTGGAAAAGGACCAGGGGGTGCTGGTTGACAGCTGGCTGAACATGAGCCAGCAGTGTGCCCAGGTGGCCAAGAAGGCCAACAGCATCCTGGCTTGTATCAGGAATAGTGT